AAATAACTCCTAGTTTTGCCATAGTAAACTTACAAAGACTTATACCGCAGATACAATTGATATCTATTGTAGGAAAAAATCCTACAGAGAATACATTCTATAACAAAAAATTTGTAATAGAAAAAATATTAAAGGAGATCTTAGGAAAAAGAATAATAACAAGTGAGTGATCTAAATTTAATTTAAAATTTATAACAACATTTTTAAAATAAATAAATAGGTAATGGATTGGTGATCACACCATGCATTGCAATGTGTGAAAAATATTGTGTTAACTAAAGATAAAGTAACAAAAAAGAAAAAGGTTAAATTCAATTAGCCTGCAGGGGAGAGATATATAACTAATTAGCAAAGAGGTAAATAGAGCATGGAGAAAGTCCTGCAGATATAACTAAATAGAATACTAACTTCCCTACTCTATTGTGAGTTCGAGGGCACCCCTTAAATATTTTTTGTATGATACAATCAAGTATGCTATAGATGCACTAGGTTTCTGGGCAACTAACGGAGATGTAATTTTTTTGCCACAGAAGAGACAAAGATCCTCTTTTCTGCAATACTATTTTTTTGCCTTGAATAATTTAGTAAGCCCTAGATCGGGCAAGCATGGGCTCTACTGTCTCTATGTTATTTGGATTGGGAAGAGGAAACATGTAAACTGGCTTTAAGACAAGCTTTTTCTGCTTTTCTTTCACTGATTGTCTGTTTCAACCACTTGTCTATAAGAAATAGACAGGAAACTAAGGCCTTGATTTCATAAACTTTACAAATGATTTAATACGGTTAGAAAAATGTTTAAAATGATTTATCTACAGAAGCCACCTTTAAAGTCTATGTGAATTTGTGTAGATAAATTATTTGGAAATTTTCATAACAGTATTGAACCATTTCGAAAACTTATTATGTTGAGGCCTACGTCCTCAAAATCCTTTGGTAGGTCTTTGGCTGCAACCTCATCCCAAATAATACTGAGACATTTGTAAATGCATCTAATAGTACTTCAATATTCCATCTAACCTTTAAAGACTGAAGTAAAAATTCTAAAACATATTCAGTCAATGATTTAGATCCGTATTTTAATTTCAGAAGACAATTGGCTACAATTGCTCTTCTGCTTGGAGTATTAAAACCAACCGAAAGGCATTAACAAAAGCAGGATAATTATACACCAAGGTATTATTCTTTTCCCACAATGGATTAGCCTATATCAAAGTTTTATCTGTCATATGGTTTATTATGAACCCCATTCCTTGAGCAAGGGGACAATTCAAAATTAATTTTTGCTTGATTAAGAAGTCATATACAACCAGCAGCATCTCCTCCATAACAGAGAAGTCAGGCAGGGAGAGTGATTGGGGGCACCCTGGGTTCATGAAACTGCAGAGAAACCTGAGAATGACTATGTTTCATGGGTTAGCAAGGTCTGCAGAGCCTGGGCAAACTGGCACATACGATGGTCCATGTCCTCTAAGTGAGCCTTATAATTAGCCATCTGAGGGTTTGGGCCTGCTGGTCCATGGCCCTTTTGTAATGTTAAGATATGCCAGATAAACCACCATGCAGAGCTCAAACCTATGCTACCTTATCAGTATTATAAGGGATGTAATACTGCCAATTGTATCAGTCCTTAGGATGGCTGGGCTTAACGAGGTTCCTTATGTAGACAAAAATAACAAAGTCAAGAAACAAGAGCATGCAAGAATGTAATGCCAGGCCAGGTCAAAGAGTACAGAGATCTGGATAGTGAGACAATATGAGTTGGTATACCAGAGTAATACAATAAACAAAGAACATGATATTGGGAATCACAGAGAAATTACAACCAGGCAAACATATACTACTTTCAAATTACAATTCAAATTGTGATTCATGAAACACGCAACTATGGGATTTCAAATTGTTACCTCAGCTGGTTCCCCTATTTTCCACTCTAAATTTTCCACATCTTAAAGCATAGGATTTTTGCAGGGCTAACCGTACAGATATCTTAGCTATAATATTATATAGTTAGTAAGAGTCCTTTAACGTCCATAACAAAATAGTGATTCTACATACAAAATTTAATAAACATAGTCATGTGACACATCAGCTATAATCATACAATACAAAAGTAAAAATATAAGGGGCTTTTTATGTATAGAATAGCCATCTAAAATGAATGCAACATTATCATAAATATTACAGGGTCATAACTTACAGGAAATGGTGAATCTCACAAATAGAGGTTCTTATATAGAGGTATTACCAGACCTAAGACTGGCCAGACTAAATGTTAATAAGAATAAAAAAAAATCAGGAATTGCAAAGGTCATGATTATAGAAATAAGGAATACGAATAAACAAGCTGGGTCAGGATACAAGAAATACACAGAGTCAAATACAAGCCAAGGTCAATATCAAAATATCAAGAGAGACTTAGTATAAGTACTAAATGTGTATCAATGCAGAAATCCCTATAGGGCCCTAAATAAGGGTCCAAAATAGCATTATATAGGCCAACACAGGTTCTGATTGGTACCAACACAGGTTCTGATTGGTACAAATTGATTAAATATGAAGGTGCTTAAATGACAGGGTCAATTTAAGAGTGGGTATGTCATCATGCTATTTAAATTATAAAAGGTATGCCAATACAGTGGGCAGCTTCCGAGGGAATAGAGTAAGGGAGTGGCCTTTACATATTCAGCCTGGAAGAAACCAGGAGAAGGAGTAGTTTGCTGGTACCGAATGGTATGTATATGCATTCCTTGCTCAGTCGGTGTAAACCATGCTACCTGAGCAAAGTCTTAGACTTGCATTGCCTGATGCAGGGAGCAATACAGGAACAAAGAGCAGGTAAGTTTGTTACATTAATATGGGCATGATTTAATCTTTAAGTGAGCAAGCTAGATGCAATGAAGCTTAGCTTCATTTCTGCCATATAGAGTCTGAGAAACACTCCACCATTCCTTAGTGCTCTGTCACTATAAATAACTCCATGGACACCCGGACATTACACATACTTTAGAAGGTGGTAAGTTCTGCAAGCTTACCTTATTACTTAAAGGGACACTATAGTCACCAGAACAACTACAGCTTATTGAATTTGTTCTGGTGAGTAGAATCATTACCTTCAGGCTTTTTGCTGTAAACACTGTCTTTTCAGAGAAAATGCATTGTTTACATTACAGCATAGTGATAATTTCACTGGCCATTCCTCAGATAGCTGTTAGAGATCCTTCCTTGGTCATGGCTGCCTAAAATGCATCCAAACATTCAGTATCTCCTCCCTCTGCGTGTAGACACTTAACTTTCCTCATAGAGATTCATTGATTCAATTCATCTCTATGAGGAGATGCTGATTGGCCAGGGCTGTGTTTGAATCATACTGGCTCTGCCCCTGATCTACCTCCTTGTCAGTCTCACCCAATCCTATGGGGAAGCACTGTGATTAGATCAGGCCACCACTTCTAATGATGTCAGCAGACTGTTTGTTTTTCTGAGTCTAACAGCATGCAGAGTTACAGCTTCAGGCTTGAATACAGTAAGATTTTGCTATATTTATGGAGGCATGAGGGGACCAGGGGGGCTAGATGGTGGTGTTAACACTATAGGGTCAGGAATACATGTTTTTGTTACTGACCCTATAGTGATCCTTTAAGACTTTCAAACTCATGACACAAAATACTTACAACATCCCTAACCACTAACTCATTGTGAAATGCCCTTTCATTTATAAACAATTTAAATATGTATCCCCCAAAAAATTGACTCTGTGGTAGCCATCTTATCTCCACAACATGCAAGCCCATTCTCTTCATGTTCAGAATAGATTTTTCGATGAAAACATGAACTACATGAGGGAACTTGATTACCAGCTTAAGCCCCTCTGTATTCTGAACCTAATTCAATGGGTTATCTTGGTCTATGAAGATTAGGGCAGGGCAGCAGGTTTTTGAAGAAGAGGGTAGAGGAAGCAGATTGTGAATGTGCCTAGGGAGGTATCAGTCTTAATTAGAACTAAAAAAATAAATATGCTTATATATATTTTCATTCTTAATGTATTTTGATATATATATATATATATATATATATATATATATATATATATATATATATATATATATATATATTTATATATCAAAATACACCTAGGACAAAATTATATATATTACTGAAAACAAAAAAAAAATCATTATTTTTTTTTTTTTTACATTTTAAAGGCGAGGGGGAGGTGCCAATCACAGGATCTGCTCCGGGTGTCAAATACTCTAGGTTCCCCCCGCTGTACTGTAATTCATTGCAACTGATATCATTTAGCTATAGTCTTTTACTTGCTATAAATATTGTAGTTTATTGACATTTAATATTACAAATTAGAATTTATCTTCTATCCACAAAAGTAACTTTTTTGCTTATTTATTGTACATTAATTAACAGATTAATATTCATATTTAAGCTCCAGCCACAATAATTACACACAGATATTAGAATCTACCACAAAATTAGCACAGCAACTTAACCACATAAATTTGGATAAGGTTGTATGACCTTAATTGACCGACTACTTGCTGTGCAGTTAGAAATTGAGAATATTGAGAGGGATAGCTATTATGTTTTACATGTCTTTATAAGCAGTATGTATTCATTGGGAATCCACAGGATTGTAGAGTAAGAAATAGTGCTGTGATGTGATGAATGAATGCATTTTGGGCACAAAATATATACTCAAACATAATTTCTGTTATGCACATCGTGCCAATTTTATTATGACCCAAAAATACAGTTGTTCTTGTTATGAACTGAAATGACAGCAGATTTACTTTTACTAATACAAATTCCATTTCTAAATTTTCAGTAATATTAATAATTTCAGAAAACATAAGCTTTTATGATTCTAGCGGTCAGGTACACATGTTTATTTGTACCATTAGAAGTATGACCTTGAGATCCATAAAATGTTTCAATTATAAGTCGGTTCTGACGTACACTTTACTCAGAAATGTAATTATATTTTTGCTCTCTTTTCAAGGTTCAGATGTTCACATGGACTATTATTTATCCATTTCATTAGTATATTTGCTTCTAGCACTGGTGTATTTTAGTACAATCAAGCAATTCATGAAATCTATGCATTGTATTCAGACTTAATTTTTAGTAAATATATTATTTCAGTCAATTAAAAAAAAAAATGCATGCCTTAATAAAAATCAAAGTGGGTACACAGAAACTTGACAGGTTCTTGTCAGCCAAGTAACTATTAGAATCGTGCACCGCAAGAAATAGTATGTACAGGTTTTGCAGTACACCAAAGTAACCAGAAAGAAAAAATTTTCTGGTTAAGAGAAGCAGTAAAACAAATCCATATTTATTTAATTATACATTAAATAAATAAATAAATATTTTTACTCTAATCATCACTTTTCACTTGATCTGTGTATAAAATCTATATTTCACCTCATCATCAATCATGATGTTGGCACCATGGGCAGAATCCAACCTGAAATTAACCTGCTCAGCTACTGAGTATTTTGGTAGGTTCAAGATTTGGATATATTTCGGCTCGCAGTTTAGGAATTGACCATTCACCATATCAGCCCATTTTCAGAGGAACTGCAGTTCGAACTGAAACAAGTCTAGTAATAATCTGTAAAAGGACATATCTAGTATTAATGGGGGGCTAAAGCATGCTTCCCCAAACTCCGGCCCTCCAGATGTTGCCGAACTACAACTCCCATGATTCTATCAATGAAATAGATAGGCTGAGAATCATGGGAGTTGTAGTTCAGCAACATCTGGAGGGCCGGAGTTTGGGGAAACCTGGACTAAAGCATTGAAAATACTTTTCAACATGCTGATCTTTTTCATGTTCTGCTCTAATTTCTTTTAAATATATATTAAAGATTTACCAATTGACATCTCACTCCAGGTAAATGATGGCACAGATTGCCTTAGAAAAAAACACAGAACTCTTTTTCTATTTCTCCTTGTCTCTATACTCTTGCTGTGCTGACGGACAGGTGCAAAAGTATATTTTACAACTAGCCATCCGAATTTATTTTTATTTTCAGAAACAAATAGCTCCCACCAAAGTCAGAATTGAAACTGGTTCATGTGAGCTCCTCTTCCTTAACCCCTTAAGACCGCAGGGCAGCATAGAACGCCCTGCGATCTTTTGTACTGACCTGGTCGCCGGCGATCCCACGCTGGCGGTCTCAGTATGGGGACTTACCTGGGAGCCCAGGGAGTCCCCCTCCGTCCTCTTCGGCCCCCCTGGGCCATGTGATCGCATTGCCAGCAGGGGGAGTGCCTGTAATGACAGGTACTCCCCTTGCTGCCTGGAAATAAAATTAAAAGATGTTAAAACAGTGTAAAATGAAATAATATATACTTAGATCATATATATATATTTATTATATATATGATCTAAGTATATATATACACATATACACACATACAAATAAATACACATACACTGTCTACGTGTATTTTAATATTAATATATACATATTTATATATATTTGTGTTCAGCGAAATCTCCTGAGTATAATAGTACCCCTCATGTACAGGTTTTATGGTGTTTTCAAAAGTTACAGCGTCAAATATAAGGCTTGCGTTTCAGTTTTTTCACATTAAAATTCGCCAGGTTGCCTTTGAGACCGTATGGTAGCCCAGGAATTATTGGATAGCATTTGAGGACTGTACATATACGTTTTGTTTTTAAAGGAACACTCCAAACGCCATAAGTAGTATAGCCTGCTGTAGTTCTTATGGTTATAGGAATGCCCTATTGTCCCCCACTACCACAGTTTGCTAATTGTTTGACAATTGAAATGTAGTCTGCTATTTACCAGTCAACTTGTCCATGAGTGCCATTGGAATTGAGCTAAGCCCTATGGTGGCTTAGAACAATCAGCTAAAACTCTCAGCAAACAAGTTGGCCCTGCACAGCCGGTGTTAGCTCGGGCAAATAAAAGCAATGTCCATACAGAAAGGTATGCATGATTAAAGCGTAACAATTAAACTGTTAATAGCTCCTGACTGATTCCTCTTCTGCAACTGTCACTAGTCTAATACTATCCTTTCCTTTTTGTGTCATTTTACCCCACTCCCTCTAGCATGTAAGCTCATTGAGCAGGGCCCTCAACCCCTCTGTTCCTGTGTGTCCAACTTGTCTGGTTACAACTACATGTCTGTTCGTCCACCCATTGTAAAGCGCTGTGGAATTTGACGGCGCTCTATAAATATCATAATAATAATAATAATTAACACTGTTGTTCCCCTCCATTTAACATGCTTCAGTATCTTTATTTTTTAAGATATGTAATTATGCAAATTGGAGCAAAATATGTTACCTGTTTGTTTTCATAAACACTTTTTATCATGATGTACATATGTGAATCACATTGAATTGTATTTAATTTCTCATTTATTCTAGCTATATTTGAAAGGTTTTGTGCAGTTGGTACAGTTAAACAAATATCACTACTTAAAAAAAAGTCTCATATTAATGATAACACTAAAAATATGATTATACTAATACTACTGTATGGGGTTTAGATCATTAATACTTTTTAAATTCAACATTTTAAAACTAAACTAAACTAAACTAAACAGGCATGTTCCTACAGAGCAGTACTAAGTATAACAATACAAATTACACATAAGAACTTATTTTCCCCCCTAGGAAAGACATTATTAAATGTATACAATAAAATTGCAGCTATTATTGTTTCCTTAAAGAGTAACACGATCTTTCAATATTCAAATGTCAAATCTAAACATATGAAAGGTACCCATCCTGGATGGTTGTGTCAGCACAAGGGTTCTGCAAAGTCAGTAAAATGCCATCGGACATCCAACACAAGTTCAGACAATCACTTCAATCGCTTAACGCTAATGTACCATTAAGGAATAATCAATCTATATGTGAATTATTCAGTTGTAGTAATTGATTCTAGTTGGTTGAATACCTAAACTGGATAGAGTTCCCAGAAGTCCAATGACTATCTTTTCCCAAGTGGAACAAATGCTATTTTTGTAAAAATCATAGAAATGCCTGTCAAAAATACATGTATGTGCTTCCCAGAACATTCAATTAAAAAACCTGTTTAGATGGAAACTTAGTGCATATAAGCATGCATAGTAATTTTTGGGAATATGGCCATCTAAAATCTAAATGGTTTGCATGATAAAATTTCCAGTATTTGATAAAATGTTTTGGCTTAAAAGTTAATCAGGTGCAAAGACAGAACTAGATCTCTACTGCCTGACTCCTTCCTTTTTGTCAAGATACATTTATCTGTTCTCTTATATGTCCATGGTAACAACAGCTGAAAGGGTCAACCTATGATGTCACACCTTAAACCACGGCTACTAGATGTTATGAAATGGCAAGAAAGAAATTTGTATGTTAGTGGATAGAACTTATCAGTGTAATATTTAGTATAGCATGTCAACTCATTGAACAGGGCCCTCAACCACTCAGTTCCTGTGCATCTATTTGTCTGGTTACAATTGCGTGTCTGCTAGTCCACCCATTGTACAGCACTATGGAATTTGCTGGCACTATGTGAATAATAAAATAATAATAATAATAATATGGAAGTTTGGGAGGAATATCAGTGTAAAGACACCTTGTATTTCATATTTTTATGAATAAAATTAGATTTTCTTATAACTTGTATTACATAAGTAACAACTCAGTACTTTCTCAAGGTCCTACTCCTATCTAATTTGCAGTAAGTGATGTAAGCCAGTAAAAATATATATTGGTATCTCTAGGTATGCCATTTATCCTGGGGAACCCATACAATTGCCACCTTTTTTGCCTTACTGAATAGGCTATGCTGTGAGGATTTATAGTGCCAGATGGGTGGATGTGCTGTTATTGGTATGTAGGATATCTAAGTAACCATTGTGGATCTTGAAATCTCTTTACCCAAGATGTCAATGGTAAGGGTTTAATAATTGCAACAGAATTATAAAGAACCTTTTAATAACAATGATAGAGCCCTAGTTTTTCAATTATACCCTTACTTAATGTGAAGCAAATGGTTATTGATAATAAGTAGTATAAAAAGACCTACTCATAAAGAGAAGATAGCCAAGAGCCCCTTCTTGTTTCAATACCGCACTTGCTGGCATTGAGGATTTACCAATTAGCAGGGGACCACTAACAATCTGTAATTAACAGTTCCATGCTCTCCCCTACCAAGGGTTTGGTATCTGAAGCATTAATAAATACATATGAGAAATAAACGTTTCCATAACGTGAATATTCTACTTGGCCAAAACATTTTCCTAAAAATACAAATTTCTGAATTTAGGCATATTTTGGTTTGGCTTGGCAGAACAGTACCAAAAAATTGATTTAGAAACTGAATCAGATGAACCAAAAGGGCACAAACACTGGCAAATCAGTGTTCTGCAACATACATACATAATATAGTATAATACTATGAATATATTTTGCAGTACACTAATAGGGGCATTTCCCGCTATTTGATTCACAGATCAAGTGAGAAAAAAATAATTAAAAGAGGGATTATTTATTTTTTTGGCACTACGGGTTGAGTTCTAAATTGTTAAAACAAACATGCTCAGCCACTGCATATTTTAGTTTGTTCATGATTTGGGTACATATGTTCTTGAAGTTTGGAATTTCAATTTATCGTCCCAATTTTGGGCAAATTGCAGTTTGAATTGAAATTAATCTCTTAGTCTAATAAACAATTGTCTCTAGGACAATGCTTACAACTTTCTACTACACTTTCCCCCTAATATTTCTATTAAAGATCAGCATTCAGTTTTATACCTTACATTTTTATGGACATTAAATTATTGCATTGTGACAATATTTGCATTAGAGAATAGCTGCTGAATGCTTAGATTATTAAAATATTAAAATAGGTAAATAAAAGAGTGAGAACAATTTAAATAAAAACAAAAAATACAATAATACTAATGCCAGGATTAACATCATAGTTACATAGATAAATAAGCTGAAAAGAAGACTTGCATCCATCAAGTTCACCCTTTCTCACATCTGTTTTTTCTCTGTATCCAAAAAGGCAAAATGCTTTCTAATTTTGCAACAAAATGGGGAAAAATCTTTCTTGAACACAGAGTAGCAGACAGATCTTTCCTTGGATCAAGAAACTGTTAATCCATACTAATTAGTATATCCCTGGATATTATGGTTTTACAAGAATTCATACAGTCACTGTTTCAACATCTGTTCACATTCAGGTAAAATTATTGTCCAAGCAGATAATTCCACTTATTTATTGATTTTATTGTTTCTTTTGCCATTTACTGAAGCTCATTT